TACTTTCCTGGCTATATGCCACGACGAACATTGAATTATATCAATTGAACACACACGATAAGAATTTGAAGACAAAATCTTCTGAAGTAGAGAATTTGCATTCTCCTTCATATAAAGATATGTACATAACATCTTTCTGAATATTCAATAGAAAACAACTACTTTCCTGGCTATTTGCCATGTCGAACATTCAATTATATCCGTTGAATATCCAAAAAATGAGTATGAAAAATAAAAATCCTCTGAAATTGAAAATTGACATTATTTCTCGAAATCGGATGAAATAACATGATGTATTATGATATAAAAATATAACTCACCTATATGTTCCGTATTGAAATGAAAATTGTGATGAAATGTATAGGAGAAGTATACTTATTGTATAAACTCTGATCTTGATGAGCTTTGAACTCCAAAAAAAAATCATTCGTATCAGTGATATTGGAATTATATCTCTCACAAACAGGTTATATGACTTCACTCGAATAAACTCATTTCGGATATCAAAATCCTGATCAGTAAACCTGAAGTCCAGTTATTCTTTCAGCCATTCTTCATGATATACATAATTTTCATCTCCCTATAATATAACTGAAACTATAATAATAACCTGTTTGTGAGAGATATAATTCCAATATCACTGATACGAATGATTTTTTTGGAAGTTCAAAGCTCATCAAGATCAGAGTTTATACAAGTAGGTACACTTCCCTTATACATTTCAATTTTCATTTCAATACTGAACATATAGATGAGTTATATTTTTATATCATAATACATCATTTAATTCATCCGATTTGAGAAATAATGTCATTTCTCAATTTCAGAGGATTTTCATTTTTCGCATGCTCATTTTTTAGAAATTCAACAGATATAATTCATCCAAAGAAAGGTTGTATGTACTTGTAATATTTAATGTATATGACAAACGAGCCAGCGGCTATAGTACATAGACTACAATCATTAAAATCAAATCTCGAACGTTTTCGGCAACATTGCCATCATCAGGAGACTTCTGAAAAGTGGAATTTATTTTTAGTAACATGTGCTTGAAAATTTTTTTATTTGAGGTTAGGAAAGTAAAGAAATTTTGAAAACTCACTTGTCAGAAATCTGTACAAAAGATTACATAAGAGGTGATCATTTCGTCAATATTTGTTGTTATCCAGTTTAATATACTATAAATTACTGTGTAATTATAAAACCAAATGGCAGCCAAGCTGCCTCCACTGTAAAACGGGAATGACTGAAGAAGTCCTGTATAATTTCCTGAATTTGAAATGACGTTTGAAAGATGACATTGATAGGCAAATTGAATGACTTACTGTTGACATATGTTGACAGACTACATGGAACATGAAAGTAAATTGAAAATTAGAAGAAACTGGATTTTGACACCAAGTTGACAGATACAATAATTTTTGAGTTTGAGTAGGCGTTTTCGGAAACTTACTCTGGGTTGTTGACTCGATCTGAACGGGTCACGTGATGGATCAGTCGGATCACTTATCCTGATACTATAGTTTACGAACTTATCAGGTTACTATTTTATTGACTTAGCTTTATACCTCTTCGAATAGAACTTCTTGATTTCTTACAGCTGTATGCAATTTTTTCAGTTTGCTATACGATATCAATATTTTCGGATCAATTTCTCCATCTTTAAAAACATACCACTAAACTCTTAAAAGATACACGTTGTTATTGTTCTATAAATAATGAATATTGCTTCTGCTCATGATGTTGGTGTATTTTCATCATCAAACTAACGCTATTCAACATAATTCACTTCTTGTTCAATTGATGAAATCAAATAATATCTGAAGTGACCTTAGAAATACATGAATCGTGAGTAGTTCTGTGGTAGTAAGTGTATGATCTAAGGTAGTAACTCTGGCTGACCCTGCTTTGGAGCAGGGTTGCGAAACATGAACCCGAGTTAGTGATCGAGTAAGTAACACCGAAGTTTCCGAACATGGGTATGTTACTCGGGTTAGGTAACCGAACGTGCAGGTTAGGGATCGAGTCAACCCGAGTAGGTTTCCGAAAACGCCTAGTGTTAACCTAGAACAAATAAATCGGATATAATGCAATTGTTGTATAACAATATTAAATTACATTTTGATGAAGATAATGTTATTATGAAGCAAATGAAAATGTCTCTCCTGATCAAAGACTATAAAAACAAATATTATTGTGAAGAAGAACTACTAAGTTCTTTTAGAGATTTGAAAATTGGTTGAAAACGAGTTTGGTTTAAATGGATTTGAGTATTCAAGCAACTATTGTTTGTTGAAATTTCCTTAGTTATTTCTAAGTCTTCAAGGAGATCGAGTTGTAAGTAATTACCATTGACTGTATGTAAGATTTTTATTCCTGATTCTAAGTCAAACTTATGTTTAGTTGCAGAAATATGTTCACCAAAACTGGAAGTTTGTGGCCTGTTGAGGTGTTCTTTGGTTCGAACTGAAATTTTCCTAGCAGTTTTTCCAATATATGTACTACTGCAGTCTGAACAGGATAATTTATAAATACCACTTTTATCAAGAAAATTTAATTTATCTTTTGTATTTGTACAAATACAAAAGATAAATTAAATTTTCTTGATAAAAGTGGTATTTATAAATTATCCTGTTCAGACTGCAGTAGTACATATATTGGAAAAACTGCTAGGAAAATTTCAGTTCGAACCAAAGAACACCTCAACAGGCCACAAACTTCCAGTTTTGGTGAACATATTTCTGCAACTAAACATAAGTTTGACTTAGAATCAGGAATAAAAATCTTACATACAGTCAATGGTAATTACTTACAACTCGATCTCCTTGAAGACTTAGAAATAACTAAGGAAATTTCAACAAACAATAGTTGCTTGAATACTCAAATCCATTTAAACCAAACTCGTTTTCAACCAATTTTCAAATCTCTAAAAGAACTTAGTAGTTCTTCTTCACAATAATATTTGTTTTTATAGTCTTTGATCAGGAGAGACATTTTCATTTGCTTCATAATAACATTATCTTCATCAAAATGTAATTTAATATTGTTATACAACAATTGCATTATATCCTATTTATTTGTTCTAGGTTAACACTCAAACTCAAAAATTATTGTATCTGTCAACTTGGTGTCAAAATCCAGTTTCTTCTAATTTTCAATTTACTTTCATGTTCCATGTAGTCTGTCAACATATGTCAACAGTAAGTCATTCAATTTGCCTATCAATGTCATCTTTCAAACGTCATTTCAAATTCAGGAAATTATACAGGACTTCTTCAGTCATTCCCGTTTTACAGTGGAGGCAGCTTGGCTGCCATTTGGTTTTATAATTACACAGTAATTTATAGTATATTAAACTGGATAACAACAAATATTGACGAAATGATCACCTCTTATGTAATCTTTTGTACAGATTTCTGACAAGTGAGTTTTCAAAATTTCTTTACTTTCCTAACCTCAAATAAAAAAAATTTCAAGCACATGTTACTAAAAATAAATTCCACTTTTCAGAAGTCTCCTGATGATGGCAATGTTGCCGAAAACGTTCGAGATTTGATTTTAATGATTGTAGTCTATGTACTATAGCCGCTGGCTCGGTTGTCATATACATTAAAGATATAATTCAATGTTCGACGTGGCAAATAGCCAGAAAAGTAGTTGTTTTCTGTTGAATTTTTAGAATAATATTATGTACATATATCTTTTATATGAAGGAGAATGCAAATTCTCTACTTCAGAAGATTTTGTTTTCAAATTCTTATCGTGTGTGTTCAATAGATATAATTCAATAATGTTCGTCGTGGGGTATAGTCAGGAAAGTAGTTGTTTTCTGTTTAAATAGACCGAGAAAGAATTGATATTTTCATCACATAGAGAATGCGAATTCTCAATGTATTTCTTCATAAATATATCCAATATTTTATGTTTCATTTATATTCTTGAGGCCAGAGGACGTGAAAGAGATTCAGCTGGGGAAGCTGCTGAACTTCTCCAAAGAAGTCGGCATACCCATCAGCTGAATGTCGGAACATGTAGGCACACAATGGGCCCGATAAGGAGGCCTAATACGGATAATCTCTATCTGTTTCCATAGCGAAACATGAAGCCGATTTTTGAAGACAAATGACTATCCATAAGGAAAAGTTTTGAAACGATCAGACACATACTGCTTTGATTGAAAGGCTAGTAAACGTCATTGTCCACCAAAACGCATGTCTCTTTGATGACTACTATAATAGCGCATGGCGCATGCGTATCATGCCACCAAATCCTTATGGATATTCATTTGTTTCATATTTTTGGCTTCATCCTGGCACCCGTTAATGATCCGTATTGTTTATTAATACGTATATGGTGTTCACACGCCCACCACAGTGCTTCGAAAAAGAAGACGACGAAGAAGACGAAGAAGAAAAATAATGAGAGGAAGAGAAGAAGGGTGATCCATTAAAGAAAATAAGAGTCCTTTTCAGAAAAACGAATGACCCTGTATATAAAACAACAACAAATAATAAAATGTTTGGAATAACCCAGGGTGGCCCATTTGAAAATGACAATAGTGTTGGAATCTTTTTCGTTAAAACTGTAAGTGATGGTAGAAGCATATATGCGATACCGAAAAATTCTACACCTCTGCTAAGTTTAAATATCATAAATACATCATAATATACCTTTGCAGCTCTGAGAACCATTACTTGTCCAATAAATACGTTAATCAATGAGAATTGGGAATATATCATGCAATTTAGCCATTTGATCAAAATGAATCTGAAGCTATCAGACTTTTCATGGACCTGTCACGAGCACAGAACTCATATTACTTACATGTAATATGAGTTCTGTGGTCCCGAGATACTCTTGAAGGAAGAAGAAGAATTTGCAGAACAATCAGCTCTTCTGTGGTTATCGTCGATCTTTTTTGTTTAGTTAGTTCATGGGTACCATAGACCACAGTTCATGGAGTTTACTGCCTGTGGCTCTGATAGTGTGGCGACTGTCTGATTATGGTTGTGTTCGACTAAGGTTAGGTTCCTGATCAGTAACTCAGTAAGTCTTAAGATAAGATAACCTTACTTTTTATTTGAAAAAAAATTCTCTCAACAAAAATATTGATAGAAAACTTGAAATATTGTCGAAATGTTGAAAGTTATTGCGAAAGTTGTTGAACGATCTAATTTTTCGATTCAGTGCAGGCTATGCGGTTCAATAACCAATGTATCCAAAGTGCAGTCACTATCAGAAATTCCAACTGATGAGCCAGTTGCAGAAATACAAACTAGAGTTTTAAGAGTGGCTATAATAGGAATGCCAAATGCTGGTAAAAGTACATTGATAAATCAGATTATGGATCGAAAGGTACATTGTAATAACCTAACTGTTGCAAAATTCCTTGAGATGTGAGACCTACTTGCACCTCTTATGTAAAATGGCAAAGATAAACCCCTTCAAGTACCTGCTATATACTGTACTACTTGAATTCTCATATAGTATATAAATTGACAAAAAAATCAACTCATTCAAGTACTTGCTCTGATGATACTTGAATTCTCAAAAAGGTTCTGAATATAAATTAACATAAAATATAGTAAAAAAACCAAATCATTGAGTACACCTTGAAATCTTCAATACTAACTCAATTTCTTCTTTCAATTTCATTCATTCCTTCACTATTTTGATTATATATTTCTAGTAGGTACTTATGCTGTGTTTATAGATTCAATTGAACTAACAATTAAGAAATGTCAATTAACAATCAACAATTGATGATCATGGGGGTGTTTACACATATCTGATAATAGTGATGAATTATAAACATCTCAATAGTGATAATATATTAGAATTAGATATTAAATGTTTTCTGATTAAAGTACAGGATATGTTGTTACAAAGTGATTCTGGCTCCACAATTTATGAATCCATAAAAATATTCCAATTAAATACCTCACCAATCTCCATTTGAATAATAACAAATCCAATCTCAATGTTCTGCCTCCAGAATTTCCTAATTCTTATAGTTGTTGAGTTGAAAGTTTGCCAACTTTGTGATTCTTAATACTTAATTGAAATGACAGATGTGAATGAATAAACCCTCATAGATGTTTCCTTGTATCCAACTTTTCTAGTTCATAGTTGTTAGTTTTATTTTTAGTTTAGTTGAATCTATAAACCCAGCATTACCTTTGTACTTCCACTGAATAGCTACAACCTTTGTCATTCTTCAATAGGTTAAATGTGCTAAAATATCTAATTATCTTGCCTCCTAAACTGAAAAGTAAACAGAAAACCACAAACCCCTTTCCTTTCATCCTTTCCTTTGACAGCTTTCTAAAACTCCACTAGGCAGCATACATATAGGTCAGTTGCATGATGACCCTGGAGGTAAAATAATGAAACACAACCTCACTTTTCTGTAAAACATGGAAACACAACCTCACTTTCTCATTTGTTTACAAGTGATTGAAATAGTTTTTCACAATTATTTTGGCATAGGAATCCTGAGAAATCAGAGAAATTACCAAATTTCAAAATGAAAACTATATGTGAGTCACTATAGTAGGTACTTACTTTCAAATCATAATGTACCAACCGGATTCTTTTGTACAACAGCACAATGTGATGGCATGCGCGAATTAATGAATAGCCGAAAAACACCATTCGTTTGTCAATTGTTTCCAAAAAGGGGTATAACACAAAATTCCAATAAGTCATATTTCGAACAGAGATAGTTATCAAGAATCAAAATACGTTTTCGAAGCCTACAATAGACTAAAACTATAATGTCCTACCAAAATATAACTTGTTGGTTTTGGAATAGTGCTGGATTTTTTTTTTCCGAAAAAAGAATTTTTTGACCGTGCCTCGTATACACCCTGATTTACTATAATTTATGTGATTACAACTAGACATGTTTATGAGTTCCGATCAATACATTTTCTAGCTTATTTTGGTTCATTTATACTAAAAAGACAGTGTTTTTTTCTTTGTCAATCTACCCCGATACGATGTTTTTACGAACTTTGTCGGCTTATATCTTAGAAACTAAACATACAAAACTTTTTAAACTCACATATTTTTTTAATGAGCCATCCTACAGCAACAGAGTAAAATTTCAGCCAATTTGACCGATAGCCAATTTCCCTTGTTTTCGTGCAGGGTCCTTTAGGTGGAGTACCATTAATATTTCAGGTTGATTAGAAGTGATCGATTATAACCAGAGGCGTCCGGAGGGGGGGCAAGGGGGGCGCTTGCTCCCTCTTAGCGCCTGGGCCTCACAGATAATTTCTAAAGAAGAAATGTTTGCATTATTCAATTACAATTCTAATTGGCGCTTATTATAGTGACTTTCAGAGACTTTGTTTAATTAGTATTGTCAATTCAATTAATTTTCTTTTTCTCTTTCCATGTTTCATGTAGAATAATATTAGATTATACATGGAGGGAGTAAAGTGCAAGATTTTTTCCCAGGTTGTTTTGTAGCTAGAGGACGCTACAATACACTGAGAGAAGAAAGAACTCACTTCCAAGATGTATGTACTATACTTTGCACGACCCAACGATTTTAATTGAAAGAATCTTCTAATTAAATCGAATATTGTCAATACCTTTGACATTTCTGATTCACGAAAATAAAAATCTGGACACAAAAATCACAAAATTACATTTGATTATCAGGACGACCGATAAATAAGAGTAGCCATATTGTTTTTGTGAACATAGAAAAAGTGTGCTAGCCGAAGTGAACTGAAGTGCTAGCATATTTTCTAAGCTGCTTTCCTATGTTTTTCAAATCAATATTGCAAAAACTTGATCCCTCACGGAAATCTGACAAAGATAAAGATCAACTCAGAAAATACATACTAGATGAAAATATGAATATTCTTGTAGGATTTTTTCAACTTTACAACTTATAGAAAGGTACCATGAGTAATGATCTTGTTTTTCTTTTTGTCTATTGATTCAAATTCAGTGTATTTGTTGTATCCTGTGTGTTTTATTTATTATTTTTTCATCATCAGGTGCATATGTAAATATGCTATGTATCTTTTGTAACAGATTGGATAGATTATGTGTCCATATAATGTATTTTTTGCGTGAAAAAACCATTGAAGAAGCTGCTGCAAAACATAGTGGCAGATTTATTGCCAGAAAAATCCCGGAGTACCCTGTACTCCCGCTTTTGGAGGTGTAAAAACAGTTTTTTTTGTTATGTTCAGAGATGTGAAAACATTTTGAATTGAAAAGTTGTTTGGAACGACCCAAACTTTTATTTCGTGATGTTGCTTCATAACCGGGTCATTCGTTTTTCCGGAAAGGACATTAACTTTGATTTCTTCAATGAAAAATCCTATATATTTTCGGAGAGCCTTTTTTTCTGATTTCAAAAATATATATGAGTTGCATATTTGGATGGAAAATAATTGAGTTATTGATTATCAAAGTTTACCACAATACCGAATCTTCCTCAACTATTTTTCATCCAAATATGCAACTCATATATTTTTTAAATCAGAAAAAAAAGGCTCTAGAAATGTCGTGAAATATATAGGGTGTTCTATCGAAAAAAACCAAAGTTGATGTCCTTTATTGGAAAAGAATGACCCTGTATATGAAACAACTTCACGAAATAAAAGTTTGGGTCGTTTGACACTTTTTCATTTAACATTTTTTCATATCTCTGAAAACGAAAGAGTTGAGGGGGGATTCCATTTTAAGAGGCACACCCTGTACTGAATATTGTACATTATTATTGTGACTTGCCCCATGAGATTATTTCAGCGGACGTCCCTGATTAGAACAACATTCCAATTTTCAAGTTTTTGAAGAAGATCAAAATCCTCTAATGTGTGGTACTGGTACTACATATATATACATGTATATCTATTTTTCTTCTGTTTTTATTTATTTTAAACAAGTTTTATATGATTTATGATTCCCTAGGTGTATTATTACTTTTTTTTTCAATGACCTAGATTAACAACACATATAGTGCTTTGTCAATGAGATTATACCCTTCTTAGCACTAATAAATCATATTTTGATTCGATTTCATTCATTAGATCTTTATTTTATTTGCAATCCTATACATTTAGTATTGTTTGGAAATAAGTTTTCTGCTTATTATGCATCAGGTTTGTGCGACTTCCGAAAAAGTACACACCACCAGGACAAAAGCAAGGGCCATATTCACTGAAGATGATGCACAAATAATTTTCGTGGATACACCTGGACTGGTCAATGAAAAGGAACAGAAAATGTTGGTATATTCTTGTGCATTGAATTGTTCAGAAGTATTATTTTTATTTCTCAATTCCAACACCCTGTTTTGGTTTTAATCAAATCAAGAGTGCTACCTCGGCCATCATATGTCAAGCGTTGTCGGTCTAATTTATCAACGCTCTGTATACAGGCTGACAGACAAATAATGGTCCAAGCCATAATGCTGCTTTTATAAATATCCTATTTTGAAAAACAAAAGAGCAAATGAAATCACCAACCAGATCATATCATGAGTAGGAGCTGATCATTATTTTTCAAATAAAATTTCAACTGTAATGTCAGCGACTGTCAATTTTTTTTTTCAGATGTTCCACTTTCTATGTTTGAAGTTTTTTACTTTATTTTTTCTACTCACATAACTAAAATGGCATATAGCTTACGGATATGTACCACGCTAAATGATCCATTAATCACGGATTGACGATCTGTGATTTATTCATAATATTAAACACGTTACCATAGCAACACGATTTCTTAAACACATTACCATGGCAACACAGTTTGTTAAACACAGCTTCAGTAATTTGAGACATGTATGGCCTGTCAATTGTATTAACTGTCAACTGTTATTTTCAAATCTTGTATAAGAATTATTCAAACAATTTCCGTTTGTATCAGAATTCTTCATTAAAAATATATGCGAAATGTAGACGAAAGTGAAATCGAAGAGAATGTCCTGGTACTTGATGCATATCTCCAAGAAGTGTGAAAATGAAGCATCCATCTTTGAGAACATTTTATTTATTCTGCGCTAACCATGACAATAAACGTGAAACAAAGGTTAGTAAGCAATGGACTGGATTCATCTACAACCAATATCACCGCTGGTTGCATGCAGTAGCATGTATTATGTTCTCAATTCCCATTCCTCTCGAATTATTTTGTAGGTTAGCAGGAATAGCAGGTATGTTAATGTAATTTTCGGAGTTCGTAGAAAAAGCATAGAATGTAACGCGTTTATAAACTCTTCTAGACACTCGTTTATTAAACACTCGCTCCGCTCTGCTCCGCTCGTGCTTGAAAAACTCGTTATTAAAAGGACATTCATAACACTTGGTACATAATATACTAATAATGCATCGACAAAATCAGTTGAAATAAAAAATAAATGCTCATATTTTGAGAAGAATTTATTTTCATAAAATATGGGATGTATAATAAATGTCACGGAAATGAAAATCAATGTTTCATTTGTCAGATGTTGAGACATGACACCGCATCTGCTGTGATAAAAATTAAAAATATCAAACGTTTGAAATATCGCTATCAAACCGTTACCACCGATACAACAAGGCCTGCATGCTCCGTGGGTGACGTCACTTAGTCAGGCCTAACCAGCGGCTCGAAACGACAAGCGCTTATAGCGCTATAAGGCGACCGCGTGTTTCGATTTTAGTTTTAGATCATCATTGAGCCGATTTTGCTGTTTTTTGAAGGGCTTCCGGTTAAAAAAGGATGCCAGTCGTCAACTGAGCCCTTCTTCGCAGCCCATTTGATTTTATTATGGAAAAACGAAGTTTTAAAGCAAAAACCAGGATAAAACACGAATATCCACCTACAGCAACCCATTCGAATTAAATACAGTGATGGGCAAAAGTGTGGAACCAAGTGAATATCTCGGTAACTGTTTGTTAGATTTTTTTGAATTTTTGTACAGGGTGATTTCAGAACACGGCGGATTCGAAATTGTTATTGCCAATGTTGCCACATTTCCAGATTTTCTGAAATTCTTGCCAACTTTACTATTTCAAATGGTACACCCTATATATTTTTATAAAATTTTAAAGAAAATATTTCAGCAAATTGATTGATGTATAATTTATTATTTTTATTTTCAATATCAACAGAGATATCTCAAAAAATGACTAAGGAAGTAACCAAATGATCGAAACTAACTAAAGCTGATGTATTCTCCTTATTAAAAATTCTCACTACCGACATTTGACGAATTCAATTCAAAAATATGAAGTACGATATTTTTTATTCCAAAGCAAACCGAGATAATAACAAATTCGTACCAACCAAGTGGATCGTTACACTTGAAACCGTAATTTTTAAGGGTAAAACTGCATTTATCATGCGATGGTTTTTTTTTTTGAAAATTTTTTTCGGTACTCACGTATTTTTGTCTGATAAACCGAATTTTATAATGAAAATGTGAACAAACCACTATTTATTGAGATATTTCAAAAAAAAGTTTGAAATTTCGCCTTCTTTCTCCCCTTGTGTTGGGGGCATTTGAAGCTACTTGCTCTTATTTTGTCATTGGACACTTTATATACTCATGATGTACTTCGATGGCACATTTTTATATAGAAAATTCAACAGGAAATATGATTTTTATTGCGAGTTTTTCATATTTAGTGAACAAGCATTCCAGAAGACGACCATTTAATACGAGATGTCAAATGTCAATAGATTGCTTTCGAATGACATTTTACACGCCATTATTTTGAATGATATATTCTTCCTTCTTTTCACTAAATATGGATTAATCTCAAGAAAATCATATTTATAGTTGAATTATATATAAATTGTCCAATATGATGAAAAAAGAAGAAAAATTTGTTCTAAATGCCATCCAGAAGACAGGTGAAAAAGAAGGTGAAATTTGGAACTTTTCAGTCAAATATCTTCATGAAAAATATCATGATGAATGCAGTTTTACCTTTTTAAGTAGAGTGTTTGTAGTTCATGTTAATATGATAGTTGCAATTTGATCATTGGAATGAATTCTGCATTCATTGCCACGAGGCAAATGACCGTTTTCAGAAAGAAATTTGAGAATGAGAATTCAAAATGCCCGTTTATTATGAACATTCAAGAAAATTTCCTCGAATTCAGAGATGATTTTGTTGACTATAATATACGAATACAAAACTAACTGCACAATCAAAGCTTTTCTATTTTTCCTCTACTTATACTTTTTATGAGAGAGTACTTGTCTTCTATTATTAATTCATCATTATAAATTAAGCTCTGTTTACTACTGAACTTAGATACTCAGATGGAGTAAAATCCTCGCGGTGAATTGCATATACTTACCCACATTTTCGATAGCTCCTCGTCCAACGGGAAACTAAAAGCATGAACTTTTGAACCACCCACATAATTCCCCCGACAAAAGGGAACACAACACTTGAAAGGCATTGTTATTTCGCCGATCACAACACAAAATATTTCACAAAACAGTAATTTTTCCGCAAATTATTTTGATGAATAAACAACAAAAGAATTCGGGACCGTTTCAAAAACATACGTGAATCACCGATGAATTAACACGAACCATGGACGTACAAGCGATAAAATAAAACACTGGACTCACTTGGCGACGTCACGAGCTGTTTACGTCAGAGTCTGCTGGCCTTATTGTATCGGTGGTAACGATCAAACTCGGTAGGTATAATGATCAGATAGTATCTGGGGAATAATTATTTAATCTGCTTATTTGTTCTCAAAATCGGATGATTCAGCGGCGCCATAGCTTGGGGCGTTTTCTGTCAGTCAGCCGATATATCAAATGCAATAATATTTCCAATTTTTGCAGCTATAACTTACAGAAAGCATTCATCCGGGACGGAAAAAGCGTTTCTAGAGAAGCAGATATCATTGGAGTTGTACATGATGTGGCAAATACTTGGACCAGGGAAAGACTGGACATTAAAGTCATAAAATTATTAGAGTACAATAAATCGAAACCCAGCTTCCTTGTATTCAACAAGGTACTTATACTGATTGATATGGAAATATGAACTGGACCTTTTTCATCTGGGATAAGTTGAGGAAATTGGGTCAAAAAGCTGTCATTTCAAAATATTCTACTATATATTAACCGTCCGAATTCCAACAACCATAAGTCAAGTTCAAAATTTGGACCGTAAAATGTTATGCGTGAAAATGAAAAAAAATGCCTTAGTTCTTTGGAAGCAGAATAGGAATACTTTAGATAACAGTCCAGTAAAACGGTATTGATGAAAATTCTATGGAAAAAAGTCAAGTTACCGGTTTCTCTGCGGTTTAATATGTTTTTCTACTAGGGTACCTATTTTAGTGTTGAAAGAGTCACTTCTCCGTACTAGTGCAGAAAAATAAATTTGTCAAGTTTCTGGTGAGTATACTGACATTTGAATATGAAATAATAAATGCTTCTTTCTGTCAACTTTTGGGTTTTTACCGCACGCTAGTAGAAAAAATAGTGTACCTTACTCGTGCGTTAAGTAACTTTTTTGCATGCGATTGCAACAGCGTGCGGAAAAGCACTACTTTTCGCACTTGTTAAGTAAACTACTATGTTCTAGTACTACTAGCAAAGTATACTCTTCTGCACTCATTTTTATCTTAAATAAAGAGTAACTTTTTCGCACTAGTGCGGAAAAAAGTAGTTCCTAGATTTTCTGGGTAGTATACTGACACTTAAATATTCAATAATAATAAATGTTTTTCATCGCACGCTAGTAGAAAAAAATATTGTACCTAAAAAGTGCGTAAAGTGACTTTTCAGCACTTGTTAGGTAAACTTCTATTTTGGAGGTGCTGAATCCGAATCTGAAGTTTGCAAACAAAATTTTCTGGAACGTTCTGAGATATTCATCACATGAAAAACGATAAGAAACCATTATCATTATTACTTTCGAAGCATTTGGGTCTAAAATACGCGAGTATATATTTTTAGTGCAGAACTATACGCCAATAGCTGATGCGGCTTTAATTCTTCCATGTCGATAATCGATTCATTTGCGCTACTGAATTTAATAAATAATTTCATCAATCCAATTGATGATTACTTAAAAATATTGTTCTATTCAATAGAGATATATACACATTCTGTTTTATCTACTTATCAACACATACCAGCTGATTTTCTAAGGTGTCTCACCCCTATTACTTGTTTACTATTGAAGTTAGTGAAACAAAATTTGGAGGTTGTGAATTAAAGTTCGATGGGTTGCGTGCAAGAACTGTCAGATGACCTATTTCTAAAATGACATGACGAAATGTGTGTTGTAGACATTTTCAATCTATTAGCAGTGTTAGCTTGTATTGCAGAAGGGGCAGGAGGAATTTTCATAAGGAATGACAACATTCCATAATGATAACTATGTGAGATTACTATTGACCTGAAAAATCATATTTTCTACAAACGTCAAAAAATGACAAGGTTCGCGCATTGATAACAAATTGCGAAGTGACACTTTTTTTCAGTTTCCTACGTTACCATGATACCTAGCACAAAACAATGCGCGAAGTAAAACAGTGCGCGAAGTTCCTACTTCGCGCATTGTAATTTAAAATATATGAGATATTTATATTTCAACTTTATTGTCCTCAATCGGGCAAACATCCACGAAATCATTTATTTCTGAATGTTCAACAATAACTTTGTTCTATCTCTTGGAGCGCACGAAAGGAAATACCTATTATGTTCGTGGAACATCGTGCGTACCTAGGGAGGATAGGGGGAGGCCTTTTAAGCCAGTTCAAGACAATTTTTTATATCAAGCTAAGCATATTTCTACTTTAGAACTATATTTTTTGACGTTTACAGAAAAAATTTTGTTTGCAACTCGAGCGCGAAATACTTTGGTCATCTCGACTATTTTTTAACTCGGCTACGCCTCGTTAAAAAATTCAGATCTCGATCACCAAAGTAGCATTTCGCGCTCTAGATACAAAAATAACTATTCTTTCGTCTCTCGCTGAATTTTTTGTGCATTGTACAACAGCACAATGCGAAGGCATGCTTGAATCAATGAAAAGCGCAAAAACACGATTCGTTTGCCATAATATTGTGAAAAACTATTTTAATCCTTTGATTTCGCTGTAACCAAATAAAGAAGTGAGGTTGTGCTTCAATAATTCACACAAGAGTGAGGTTGTGTTCCAATATTTCGCCTCCAGGGTCGGTCATCGTGCACGCGACCAATTGACATTATTAGACATATTTATTTGCTTTGCCGTACTTCCGGTATAACCCGAAATGACCCCAACTTTAGATTTTCACATAGGACAACCATGTATTTTATTCCATCATCGGTTAGGGATTTTCATATTCAATGGAGGAGTGGACTGATAATGAATTATTGGCATTCAATTACTCTCCTGTTTCTTTAGGAACCTAAATTAATTTTTCAAACACTTCTCACGCCCTTTTATGTGAATAATGAGTTGTTCGAAAATTTTGTTTGAATTTCAGAGTTCATTTCAAACGAACTTGCATGGCCGCCATTATTGTTGAATTTATGAATTATTGAATAACTAATATTTCTGAAGTTCCCAATCGTATTTCAACACATGGCAACTGTGCTATGGTCTGCCCCTACTTACGAAATCGTGACGTCACTTATTATTGGCGGTAAATTTCTAGCTGTTTGAAAATTACCGTGATATTATTGATGATTTTAGCTCCTAAAAATTGACTGAAAAATTCTTAACAAATATAAAATTGAAAGATTTTTCGAGTGAATTTACTATTTAAAATATAAAAAAAAATTGATAGTGATATTTCAAACGATTAGGAAGATATTTGTATTCGAAATTTCCATAAAATGTGCTCAATGAGTGTGACAGAAAAAGAAGTTTCGTAATCGTTGGAAATAACCCTATCAAACCCGGTATCCTTGAATTCGTTTTGATAAGCCCTAACCAATTATGGAATGAAATACAGGGTGTCCTATTTAAAAATCGAATAGTTGGTCATAACCGAAAGTACCGCAAAGCAAGTAGTCATAACAAATAATCTCAATCTGATATATAAAATTCTCCTGTCCCGGTCACGGTGTTAGTGGTCGAACTCCTCCGAAACGGCTCGACCGATTCGTATGAAATTTTTTGTGCGTATTCGGTAGGTATGAGAATCGGTCGTAATCTATTTTTTTAATTGAAAATTCAAGATGGCGAATCCAATATGGCGGACGAGTATTGTTATCCGATTTCACTCAAAATTGGTATTTGGAGGTTTTCGGGGTCGGAGATTATGATTCTTTCGTCAAAATTAGGAAATTCAAAATAGCGGATTCAATATGGCGGACGAGTTTTGTAATTATGGTCAGATTCCATTCAAAATTGGTATCTGGGGGTTTTCGAGGTCAGAGATTGAGATTTTTTATCAAAATACGGAAATTCAAAATGGCGGATCCAATATGGCGGACGAGTTTTGTGGTTATGATCCAATTATATTCAAAATTGGTATCTGGAGGTTCTAGAGGTCGGAGATATGAATCATTTGTCAAAATGGGGAAATTCAAAATGGCGGACGAGTTTTGTAATTATGGTCAGATTCTATTCAAAATTAGTATCGGGTGGTTTTCGGGGTCGGAGCTAATGATTCTTTCGTCAAAATTTGTAAATTCAAGATGGCGGATCCAATATGGCGGACGAGTTTTGTAATTATGATCCGATTCTATTCAAAATCTGTATCTGAAGGTTTTCGGGGTTGGGGATTATGATTGGATTCTTTGAAATAGGGGAATTCAAGATGGCGGATCCAATATGGTGAAAGATTTCTGTAATGAAAATAGTAGTTTGAAAAACTATAATAAAACACGCTTTTATAGATAGCCAAACTCGAGGCCAAACTGAATAGAAGTAGAAAATTGGTAGTATAGTTTAAAAAACGAGATATATTGTCGAACTAAAAAGAAGTAAAAAATAAAAATGGTAGTTTGAAATACTGATGAAACACGATTTCATGGATATCCAACTATCCAGCTAGTCGAACTATAATATTCACAACGCCTAAATATTTTTGAATAAGCGATAAATAAAAAAGATGAAGGGGGTTAACATTATTGAAATTAGCCCTGTACACGATGTATTCATAATGAATTTGTATCCAGGTAGATGTTCTGAAATCGAAAAGAAAATTATTGGAGTTGACTAGACAAATAACTGAAAATTGCGTGAACGGTGAACCCATACCTGGTGGAAAACCAGTCAAGCCTAAAAATTCCGATGATAAAGGTTGGCCGTTTTTTCAAGAAATATTCATGGTTTCAGCATTAACAGGTAACTTTTCTTTATTCGATATTCTGCGTTTATTGGGTGTGCCGAAATCACGAAAACCGAGCCCCTGTACCTTCTGAATCACTTGAGATAGAATTATGAAATTTGGAGAGTTCAAATAACATCTTATTCCGCATTCACTGATACAAATACACATTTTGAATTACTTCTGGTTTCAGCAGAAATGATCTCATCATTCGATTCACAAATGGGACACCCTGTATATTTTCACATTTTTTATTTAGAAGATTATTTCACATACAGTTATATGATTTTTACAGAAAAACATTATTGCCAACTAGACTCATCACATAATCTCTCTTTTATAATTTATTTTGGTTTTATCCATTTTGTGTTTCAATTACCAATCGGATATTGACAAATGTGGTATCAATCAATTAGATGAAGAATATTCTTCCATAAAAATTACCTAGCCCACCATCATTCCATTTGAAAATGCAAAGATATCCTAGGCAAATCATTTATTATATACTGTCTGTAGGTTAATCGAGGAGATTATGTGGGATTTTCTCATGGTAAATTTAAGATTAATTAATGAAAACATTCTGTAACTCATTGAATCGCTGACGTCACCAATTAATTGTCACTGAGAACTGAGAAGTGTCAGGACGAATACGAATTTGCCATACAAAAATCAATTTTTTATGTTGAAGACGGGAGCAGATTCGTTCCCAAAACGTCCAAAGCTAAGTGAAAATTTGATATTTTTCTAAATACCTTCATTTCTCTTCTCCAAACATTTTTCAATACAAATTGTCACTGACAAGCTAGTGAATTTTCAGTTAATGCTCTCTGATAGGAAAATTCTTCAAACGCAGTGACATTTTGGGGCAAATCATCTGATTTGTCTTTACTACACGTATATTGAAAAAATATAGTTATATAAATTTGAGACGAGAAGAGAAAATCATAAATAATCTGGAATGATGAATCATTCATTATCACTTTGAGAGCCAATTCTAGGCAAGATAATTATACAACTGTATGTAAAATGATCTCCTGATTCAAAAAATGAGAAAATACACAGGGTCTCTCATTTGGAAATCAAGAGTTGAGGTCATTTCCGGCGACACCGGAAGTAACTCGAAAAGCATAATCATGCCCCTCCAAATTTCAAAATTTTGTCTCGGACGTTTTAAAAGTTACAGAGGCGGGGCGGTCCGATTCTCATGAACACCCTGTAGTATCAGCAATGTGGACGTTTGAAAATCTGGGAAAAATTGTCGAGAAAAACTCTTTTTTTAGGAGATGGACTAGAAGACATTAAAAAATATCTTCTGAATAGCGCAAAACGTGGAAAATGGATATTTCCTGAAAAGACATGGACAGATCAAATATCTGAAACTGTCATTTTGAATACTGTGAAAGCTACTCTTCTTAATTTTCTGCCACAAGAAATCCCATACCAGCTGACACCTCTAATTGAATATTTAAATGTTGACCAGAATGGTGAGTGGCATTTTTTTTTCTCAATGTTTGAATTGGACTTACTTATTTTATAAGGATTCGGTGTTACTGATAGTTATCAAAACGTTTCAAAAACTGGAGTGCTTCAAGGGTCTCTTCTGGGCCTTCTACTCTTGAGTATTTACCAACTGACTTTAGGAAACTGCTTTTGTTTTTACACTGAGATACTGATGCAAATGACAAGGAACATAAGTTGACAATTGATTTATTAATTAATTAAAGATGTGATAACCACCGTTGTTATTGTCCACTGTCCATCTGCATCTACATTTCAATGCGACTACGTTGGTATCTTTGAAGAGAAAGATGGAAGAGGAGAGAACTCTCCTCTCTCTCGTTCAAGATAGAAATTACCTCAATTGGACTTTCTTATGATATTATAAGAAATCGGTGTTAACTGATGGTTATCAAAACGTTCGATTCAAAAACTGGAGTGCTTCATGGGTCTCTTCTGGGCCCCCTACTCTCAAGTATTTACCAACTGACTTTAGACAGCTGCTGTTGTTTTTACACTGAGATACTGCATGATGCACATGACAAGGACCATAAGTTGATCATATTAATTAATTAAAGATGTGATAACCACCGTTGTTATTGTTCAGTGTCCATCTGCATCTATATTTCAATGCGGCTACGTTGGTATCATTGAAGGGAATGATGGAAGAGGAGGGAACTTTCCTCTCTCCCGTTCAAGATAGAAAAGACCTCAATTGGACTTTTTTATGATATTATAAGGAATCGGTGTTACTGATGTTTATCAAAACGTTCGATTCAAGAACTGGAGTACTCCAAGGGTCTCTTCTGGGCCCTCTACTCTTCAGTATTTACCAACTGACTTTAGGCAACTGCTGTTGTTTCAACACTGAGATACTGATGCAAATGACAAGGAACATAAGTTGACAATTGATTTATTAATTAAAAAAGATGTGATTATTACCGTTGTTATTGTCCAGTGTCCATCTGCATCGATATTTCAATGCGGCTACGTTGGTATCATTGAAAAGAAAGATGGAGAGGAGAGAACTTTCCTCTCTCTCTCGTTCAAGATAGAAAAAACCTCAATTGGACTTTTTTATGATATTATAAGGAATCGGTGTTACTGATGTTTATCAAAACGTTCGATTCAAGAACTGGAGTACTCCAAGGGTCTCTTCTGGGCCCTCTACTCTTCAGTATTTACCAACTGACTTAGGCAACTGGTGTTGTTTTTACACTGAGATACTGCCAATGACAAGGAACATAAGTTGACAATTGATTTATTAATTAAAAAAGATGTGCTTATCACCGTTGTTATTGTCCAGTGTCCATCTGCATCGATATCTCGATGCGGCTACGTTGGTATCATTGAAGAGAAGAGAGTTGACAATAGATTTATTACTTGTTAATTACAGATGTGATAACCACCGTTGTTATTGTCCAGTGTCCATCTGCAAGAATAGCTAAATTGATAGCAGGCGCAGCAGATGGAAGATTAAGGCAAATAACGGATACTGTGCGGATAGATTTGCAAGACGCTTTTCATAATTACGTTAAAATTAAAATAGTACTGGAGCCTTCACCAAATGATCAAAAATAAACTTGTTTACTTTAAATTAGCATTCATCTGAGAACTGTGAAAATTGTATTTCATGAAGAAGTAGAAGTACGACCTAATAACATTATTGGGTATTGTACTTGATCGCCCTAATATGTATAATGCCAATGTCCATGAAAATATATTGCATGTAGAGTTTGATGTTGTTTAATAATTATTTTTCCGTCGACCTCGTATTAACGACTAAGTTTAATGTATATGAAATCGTTCATTAATGACCCCTATTAATGGACGATTTGTCTATAAATGCACGATTGTTTTATAGGCAACCAAACATACACCGCGTGCATTCATTGTTTATGCTATAACTAGCGTAATCTGCATTTAAATCGAAAATATGGATTTCATCGACGATTTTCCGTTAACGGGTTCGCCTTTCCAAGTTTCTGACACCATTTTAATCCCTGTTTTCTAACAGAAGGAATTTATTTCCTATGTTGATCATTTCGACAAATGTCAAATGACACTAATGTCAGTAACAAGGCTACTGGGTGATTCTTAGCAGTTTCCGGATGGATGATGAATTCGCGAACCAAGTTTTCTTCATTGCAGGAGAAATGAGAAATATAGTCGACGGAAAAATTTTGTAACCAACTTGTATATTAAAAGGCGATTAATGATCTCGAACATTAACGCGCTCGCTTCGCTCGCACGTTAAAATATCTCGATCATTAATCGCCCTCATTAATACACTAGTTGGTTAAATAACTATTTCACCATTCCTTATTAACAAGTTCGCCAATTTAAAATCACTATTTTTTGTTACTTTGACCAACTTTTGAAAAAAAAAAATGTATTGTCAATCTACACTAATGCTTTCAATTTCATAACTTTTCAAATATTTTCTGAATAGTTTTAAGATTTCAAAATCAGAAATAAAGTCACAGTCTTACTTGAAAGGTCGAAATTCGCCACTCATAACTTTATACTGACGTCACGACCCAGTGAGAAATATATGCATATAGCTGCCATATATGTCAAAATTCATCTGGAAATAACATGAACTATTAGATAGTTCATTGAAACCCATATTATGGCTATCTTCCATTTGACACACCATTCCTCGAGTGCAGTTTAGTAGCTCGTTGCAGGTGGCGGGTTACTATACAGGGTGTTTCTTACTGGTACTGGTGGGGGACGTTTCCACGTCAGCAACTAGTCCCCAATGGGACCTTTTTGCAAACCCCAAGTGTTTTCAATGACTGATGTGGTTCGCTCAAGAGAGCTGGCTAACATCCTTTTCAGGCACCGCCCATCAGCTCTCTTTTCAGAGTTTTTCAGCTGCGTTTTGTAGGCTAGTAATGTACTCACTACCATATGCGCAGTGGCAGGCCTGCTAACTATCATCGTTAACCCCCGAGACCGAGGTCTACTTAAGCAGCTGGCCCGCTCTCACGCTCAGCTGGTAGTTTTCCACACCCACCTACATACACCGTCCTACTTCTTCTCTGATGCTCACAACCACATCATCATATCTTTCTGCGTGTTCTGTGTAGGCTTTGTTACTAACTCCATGCGCCACTTTAGGAGCAGCACTGTTAATTGGAACGCAACAGCGAATCGTGCAGGACCATCACCAGCCGATGCTCCGAAACTTTACAATATTTAATTCGTAAATAAAATATTGAAAAAAGTTCCTTGCCCGTGCTGGGAATCGAACCCACGACCTTGCGGTCGTGAGACGGACGCTCTTCCACTGCGCCAATCCCGACAGAAGACAGGTGAAAAAGAAGGTGAAATTTGGAACTTTTTAGTCAAATATCTTCATGATAAATATCATGATAAATGCAGTTTTACCTTTTTAAGTAGAGTGTTTGTAGTTCATGTTAATATGATAGGTGCAATTTGATCATTGGAATGAATTCTGCATTCATTGCCACGAGGCAAATGACCGTTTTCAGAAAGAAATTTGAGAATGAGAATTAAAAATGCCCGTTTATTATGAACATTCAAGAAAGTTTCCTCGAATTCAGAGATGATTTTGTTAACTATATAATATATGAATACAAAACTAACTGCACAATCAAAGCTTTTCTATTTTTCCTCTACTTATACTTTTTATGAGAGAGTAATTGTCTTCTATTATTAATTCATCATTATACATTAAGCTCTGTTTACTACTGAACTTAGATACTTAGATGGAGTAAAATCCTCGCGGTGAATTGCATATACTTAGCCACATTTTCGATAGCTCCTCGTCCAACGGGAAACTAAAAGCATGAACTTTTGAACCACCCACATAATTCCCCCGACAAAAGGGAACACAACACTTGAAAGGCATTGTTATTTCGCCGATCACAACAAAAAATATTTCACAAAACAGTAATTTTTCCGCCAATTATTTCGATGAATAAACAACAAAAGAATTCGGGACCGGTTCAAAAACATACGTGAATCACCGATGAATTAACACGAACTGACGCGTTAGTCGACAAGCGATAAAATAAAACACTGGCCTCTCTTGGTGACGTCACGAGCTGTTTACGTCAGAGTCTGCTGGCCTTGTATCGGTGGTAACGGTTGGTCCCGCTTTGAGGACAGCAATGGTTCATATATGAGTAGTAGATATATGATTTCAATGGAGTTTTATGATCTAGCATGTTAACCTAACTTTCTGGATAAGCATGCCACTGCATTATTGTGTTTATAACTATCTCCAGAGAGTTTTTCATATTTTGAACACAGGAACTAATGATTAGGTACACAAAAAATAATGAATGGAACTGATTTTTAATATCGATTATTCTGTATGAAACAATAAAGTAGATACTTATACTTATATTAAAATAAATTATGTTGAAATCATCCCAATTTATCCAACAATTTTTGTAACAAGCTATTCTGTATTTTCATTTGCTTTATCATCTCATTTTGTTGTTCCATCCTAGTTTCCTCTAATTCCAGTTTCTGGCTATCCCTTTCAGCTGCCCCCTCAAAATACTGGACCAACTTTTCGTGCAGCTCCCCGGAATTCCTCAAAAGTTCCGTGTTCAGCTTGTTGTGTTTACCAATGACTTTGGTGAGCTCTGACAGTTCTTCGACGACTTGTAACTGGTTCACGTCTTGCACCAAATACTCGGTGGACTCTAGAACTTGACGGTCGTCGTCGTCGTCCTCAGTCCTGATCAGTTTCACGTTTTTCATGTCTCCATTGTCTCCGCTGTAACTGAAAAAAAAACGCGTCATTTTGTGTATCGATAGGATTTTGCTGGCCGAACGAAGCGAGAATCCGCAAAACACACATAATTTAGGGTCTATTTAGTCAACTCTGTCATCGTCTCAGTCTCAGTCCTTGTTTTAATTTTAGTCCTTAAACCAAGTTAATTCTACACATTGGCATAAGAGCATTTAGAGCCTATTTATGTATTATTTTCTAAGTCTCAGTCTTAGTCACAGTCTTTATTGTTTTAATCATAAAACCAAGTTATGAGCATACATTTCAATAGGTGAATTTATGCAAAATGTTTACTCTCAGTCTTAACCATAATCATTGAATCATGACCTGTCAACATCACATATGCATTTCAATTTTGTGTTTGTCGCCAAAAAATCAGTGCTATTCTGTGCTCTGTCAATAATTTATTAAATCATGCTAATAATTTGATTACATTTGATAGCATATATCAAAAAATCATGTGCCTGGAAGAAGAAACCCTAATAGAACTCCGAATCTCTTGACTCTCTTTTCTTTTTGCATCAAGCAAACCAGAGTGGCAAGATTCAAATAAATATATGACAGAGTAATTCCAATGATTAGATCTCTATCTACTTCCATTTTCGAATTTGTAAGAGATTTTTACGAAGAAAAACAATAAACTCAAATAATCCTCAAAATTAGCTCGACGGATTGTCAATTGTCAATCTCAAGTCTCAGTCCTAAAAACGTGACCTTGAGTAGGACTAAGACAGAATAGTGCAAATAATACTTACATTTATCAAAAAATACAAACTGGTTGTGATTAAATGCTTGATTATTAAAGCAATCCATCTTTTTCACTTCAGAAAATATCAACAATGAAATTTAGAAGAATGAAAAAAGTTTGGATATATGTCTGACATTCCTGTCACTATCATTTGTGTCATTTGTCGAAGTCCCAAGTCCTAATATCATGAGTTGTATAAATAGTCATGTCCTCATTCTTAAAGATAAAGACTGAGACTAGAACTGAGACTTGACACGAAGACAAAGTTGACTAAATAAACATTCAGAATGTTATGCACCATCTATCGTGCAATTCGTGCACTAATTATCAAAATTTGATGGTAAAGGGCTCTATAGTTATAGGAAAAAAGTCGTCTACAAGGTGTCTTATTCAAAGGGGCGTAGCTCCCTTAAGAACCACATCAATATGAACTTTCCATCGAATAATTTTGGTCGGCCTTATGCTGGCCGCATCCTCCGCTATCACTTGTATTAAAGTCGTTCATTTTTCTTTGCCAAGCTATACAACACAAATTTCCAAAACATTTCATAATTTGTTCTGGTGCATCTTAAAGTGCCCCTAGATGTCCCTCCGCGTAGCACGGAGGTGGCTGGTGTTGGCCAAGGGATGTGAGAGGATTTGTGGAGTGTTCGTCACAGAGACCTATCTCCTAGGGCTAGGCCCTTTATAAAGGTAATCTCACTGTGGGTACCCACTGGGGTGGGGGAGTTGTTCATACGTGATCAGTGCAGGGAGTGTTTCCGGTTTTTGGAGGAAAAATAAAATGTATAAAAACAAAAAACCTCCTTCTAGTTAGGCTCGGACAGCTGGACCTCCACGTTTCCGTGTTTGTACATCTGTCCGAGTTCAGTGACGTGTTTGCTCGTGAGCTGTGACACTATGTTATTCACTTGTTTGGGAGATAGTGTTGTCTAGATCCTTCCCGGCGTCTCGGACGTGTCCGAGAATCCGGGAAGATTCCCGACTATAGATTCTCAGGTTCCCTAAAAACATCGGTTGATGCATATTATTATATCAGCCCATGTTTTTTGCGGATGTTGTAGTGTTCTCTGACTGCAGTGATATTTCGGGTAAGGTCACTTCCAGTGATGTGGTATTTGTAGAATCTATTAGATATTTTCAGGATGTACTCGCTGATTCTGGGCAAACTACCACATCTCTCGTGGAGAGTATTTATCACCGTTGGTGATAATACGGAGTACTTTGTTCTGCAGCACCTGTAACCTATTCATATGAGTGGGCGGGATGCTGCAGTACACCGGACACGCATAATATGTCATTACAGGCCTGATAATTTGCTTGTACACCAAGACCTTATTCTCCAGCGATAGAGGGGAGGTTCTGGATAACAATGAATACATTTTTTTCTTAATTGCGCTTTGTGTTTTCTGTATCAGGTAGTTAGTGTTTTTCCTGAATGACATATGGATGTCCAACTTGACTCCCAGGTATTTCACAGGGGACATATCTGTCACCTCAACCCCTTTGACGGTCAAAGGTCTGCTCAACGTGGAGTTGATGACTTCAGTTTTCGCACTGTTGATGCGGATCTTTGACTCGTCAAAGTACGGTATGATTCCCCTGTCCAGATGGATCTGGATCTGTGCCCTGGCGATATTCGAGTCGTCCGAGTGAGCATATATAGGAAAATCATATGCGTGTATAGGGTATACAACAGAGGTGAGAGGCACGACCCCTGCGGAACACCTGCCTCGAGTGGAAAATCTCCCGATATACTTTCGTTGACCTTGACCCGGATTTTCCTATTGGTGATACATGCATCGATAATCTTAATGATAAAAATCTGCATCCTAGCCTTGTGCAGTTTGGACATTAAACCTTCGTGCCAGACGGTGTCAAATGCCTTTTTTAGGTCCATCATGACCATAACGGTGTTCTTATCGTTATTGCAGGCCTCTTTTACCTCGTGAACGATTCGGGCCACTTGGGACACAGTGCTGTGTCCCTTGCAGAACCCAAACTGTTCCTTTGGCACTAGGTTCAGCTTTTCGACGTGTTTTGAAATGAGTCGTAAGAGGACTTCATCCACGATCTTGGCTACTGCATTAAGCAGTGATATGGGGCGGTAGCCATTGGTACTGGCCGTTATCAGGGCCAGTACATGCCTGCCGAAACATTCAAATAAAAAAAAAGATGACCTCCACGGGATTCGAACTCTGGTCCTCCGCTATCACTTGGGTACAAATCGAAGTTATATTCCAACTGAGCTATTCTCCGATTGATTACTCGACTAGAAATCAGAACGGCGAAAGGTTGCAAGGTTCGATTCCTGGCAGAGCAGAGAATTTTTATTTAGAAAACGAGTTATATATTCTAATTTTTGTAGCCTCGGCTGAAGATGATTCCGCACGATTCGCTGTTGCGTTCCAATTAACGGTGCTGCTCCTAAGGTGGCGTATGGCGTTAGTAACAAAGCCTACATAGATCAAACATGGGCCCAAGGACATCTACATTGGTAGTAGTAAAAGTAGTATATGTATATGTACTTGGTTGTACCAACTGGTCATCAACGTTACGAGAGGTCCTCCACCTCATTAGTGTTTTGTGTAGGCTTTGTTACTAACCTTGCCACCTTAGAAGCAGCAGTGGTAATTGGAACGCAACAGCGAATCGTGCGGAATCATATCCGGCCGAGGCTATGAAAATTAAAAAAAAAAACTCGTTTTATATAAAAATTATATAAAAATTCTTTGCTCTTCCTTTCGATGATCTGATAACTAATCGAGAGCTTCAACCACTGCACTATTCCGCCGTCCGTATTTCAATGCCACCCTGTATATTATAAAGATTATCAGAAGCAGTGACTATTAAAGGGATTGAAAAAATCCGTAACTTTGGACTATAGCAATTTTTCAGGAGAAAAAATGATAGTGGAGTAAATTATATTCAAACATATTTTCAAAATTTGTGTGTAGACCTAGACCCATATACATACGGGGTGTAACAGAGGATCATGGTACACCAATCCATTTTGATGACTTATAATTTGATGAAAAATCAAAAAATTTTACATTTTTGACAGGATTCATTTTTCTTAGCATTACACCTGTCAGACTTGATCAGAATATAGTCATGGCACACCCAGATGGAAAATCAAAGAAGGAATCGAAATAAATATTGAATTTTTAATCATTGGATTCAGAAAATACTGCAGAATTCTAATATGCAATGATATACAGGGTGTTCCATTTGAAAATCAAAAGTTATTATCACTTCCGGTGAAACCAGAATTGGAAAATAAAACACATTTATGTCAAAACATGATGTTTATCAAATTGATGGGACATTCCAAATTTCAATCACTCATCTCTGAAACTGAAGGATAAAAAGGAGGTACCATGATGATGTTACACCAGGTATAGAGGTGCCTATATCCCAAATCTCTTATTTGAAACGTTGAAACCCAATTTTGTTATTGAACTATAGTATTTACTCACCTTGGTGTACTTATATCAAAGGAAGACTCATCGTTTGCATCTCTTCTTATATTTCTTTTAACTGAGTATGATCTCATCATGCTTTCAAATGGCCGTTTGTTGAGAATTTCAGCAATTTCACTAAAATAATCAGGGAAAGAATGATAACCAATTCTCGGTAGCCAAGGTCATCATCTGACGTTGTAATGACATAAAAACTACACAGGAAAACATGTCTAACTTCCAATCTAAACCAGATGAGTTAGGAAAGTTTTTCATCCATTTTCTGAATGAGAGTTCAGAATTTACTGCACCATGTATTACAGAAACAGAGAGTCTGAATGCGAAATTGGATGAAATAAATCAAAAGTAAAAAAAAACTTTTTAATAAAAAGCTTTTATTTGAACGCTCTAAAAAGAAGAAAATAAAATGTATCTTAATAATTTCAACTATCAACTTATAACCTCATTATACACAATTTATATGATCATAAAAGTTTGACGCGCGATTCACTTGTGTGAATGAACTAGTGCTTATTTAAATATGTAAAATCTGCTGAGATTAAATTTTTAAACTTACAATTTAATTAAATATTGATCATCGCGACAAGCTTTTATGATGTTGAAAAGGAATATTCTCAGATAAATTATGAACATACAAAAAAGGATATATATTTATATAAAGCAATACATTGAGAATTCGCATTCTCTATGTGATGAGAATATTTACTCTTTTTCAGTTAATTCAATAGAAAACAACTACTCTCCTGGCTATATGCCACGACGAACATTGAATTATATCTATTGAACACACACGATAAGAGTTTGAAGATAAAATATAAAAATTTCTGAAATTGAGAATTTGCATTCTCCTTCAGACAAAAATATGTATATACACACATCATTCTGAATATTCAACAGAAAACAACTACTTTCCGGGCTATTTGCCACGTCGAACATTGAATTATATCTGATGAGGATTCAGAGATCCGAAATGGGTTCATTGCAATAAAGTCATATATAACCTGTGTGTGAGAGATAATATTTCCCATATCACTGATATGAATGATTATTTTTTTTTTTGAACGTTTTCAAGCTCATCAAGATCAGAGTTCATGCCAGTATACTTCTCCTATACATTCCAATTTTCATTTCAATGCTGAATATATTGGTGAGTCATATTTCTAGATCATTATTCATCATATTATTCATCCGATTTGAAGAAGAATGTCAATTCTCAATTTCGGAGGATTTTATTCTTTATTTTTCATGTTCCCTTTTGAATGTTCATCAGATATAATTCAATGTTCGACGTGGCAAATAGCCAGGAAAGTAGTTGTTTTCTGTTGAATATTCAGAATGATGTGTGTATATACATATTTTTGTCTGAAGGAGAATGCAAATTCTCAATTTCAGAAATTTTTATATTTTATCTTCAAACTCTTATCGTGTGTGTTCAATAGATATAATTCAATGTTCGTCGTGGCATATAGCCAGGAGAGTAGTTGTTTTCTATTGAATTAACTGAAAAAGAGTAAATATTCTCATCACATAGAGAATGCGAATTCTCAATGTATTGCTTTATATAAATATATATCCTTTTTTGTATGTTCATAATTTATCTGAGAATATTCCTTTTCAACACTTTCATACCCAATCAGGGGGTTCAAACTTGAACGATGGAAACTTGTGATTTTTATAGACCTCTAATCGCAGATTCGTGATAGAGTCTCAATTCAGAATTAATTTCCACGCCCTGTATGATGAATGTCAATTTATCATACACCCAAAAGCAGCTTTTATGATCATATAAATTGTGTATAATGAGGTTATAAGTTGATAATTAAAATTATGAAGAAAAATTTTATTTTCTTATTTTTAGAGCGTTTAAAAAAGCTATTTATTAAAAAGTTTTTTTTTACTTTTAATTTATTTTTTAATTTCTAGTTATCGCTAAACTGGATTTTTCGATTCACTCTCAACGAGCCTTTCCATTTGATACCCATATATATTGTAGAAGTATATTGAAAATGACCATTCCGCCATATTCGTTTTAGAATGACGTCACATCATTTTTCGAGTTACTCTCAACGAGCCTTTTCATTTGATACCCATATTGTAAAAGTATATCAAAAATAGCTATTCCGCCATCTTGAATAGTCCGCCATATTGGATTTAGTATAACGTGACACACCATATCGTGCATTGTCATCCAAACTGAACGTGTATACAAAATTTCAGCTCAATCGGTTGAACATTTCTACTTCAAAATTGAGTTCAAAGATTCCACCCGAACATACATACATACAGTCGTATTCAATAAAAAAGCGTAAAAGTATTAAAAAGAGAGGATTCTAGAGATTATAACTCAATAATAATTTGTGTTATCAATTCAAATGTATACCAGAAACCTCGATGATTTCCATCATTTGTGTTGACAATGTTGCCGCTTCTCAGAATTTGTCTGAAATATTGATAAAAAATGGTGAGCCATCAAAATTAATGTTGTTATAACTTTGTTGCCAATTGAAATTTTTCAATGAAATTTCGTGCTCAACCTAATTGAAAGATGCTGAATTCAGTGGTGGGGTCGATTTTTTTTTTAAAATGCTAATGATATTTCGCAATTTTTAACTTGAAAAAAATAATATAGTATGCCCTGTAAATTGAAATTTCATTTTGCAAATTTGTGTAAACGTAGATCTCCAGATAGTCCTTCTGCTGAAGCGAAAAAAAAATAAATCGGTCAAAAACTATAGATTTAATGAGGGTGCTCCGGTCTTAAATGGGTCACACTGTATATTGTTTCGTGATTGTTTCATAACATGCGCATATGTCACACTATCTTATCTGTGATCTTATGTCATGTCACACGGCAGAGAATTTTCCCACAGAAAATGATTCAGATTATTCTGAATGTTTTATTGTGTTCATTAATGATCCATTTTATGAGTGAAAAACTGGCCCCTGACATATGGACTCAGTTTAGCTTTTGTTTTAATGTCATGGCAACGTCAGATGATAACCTTGGCTACCGGGAATAATGCCTATACAGACATATGTATAACGTGTGTATAATAACACATCTTGAAAACTAATTAAAATATTGAAAAGTTCAAAACAAAATCTTGAATCAGATGTTCTTCTCTTCCAAATGGTGCCCTCCTAACATTATATCCCTATTCCATATACGGGGGTTGTTAAAACCTTAAATTTATTCAAATGGACCACCCTATATTTCATTGCATAAATACACTCACCGGCAAAAACAACCGGCCACCAAATAATTTAGCCAAATTGTTTGCTCTGTAACTTCTTCAATTCTGGTCCGATTTTGATGAAGCTCCGACCAAATCGTAGATTCATGTTTCCAAGGTTAGCCTGAATATCAGTTCCTAAGAAAATCTGATGACTCGATCATTATACAGAGAAAAACGAAAGTTACTTTTTCACCCTTAACTTCTTAAGCTTCATTATGTTTTAGATTGAAGAGTGATCTCTTCTCTACATGATGGTTTTTTATTCACGTCGATAACCACTTTTTAAAGGAAGATGCGATAGTGTTTCAAGAGAGTATGGATTTTTAAAATGTTTATTTACAATAATTCAGAACCATTCTCCAACATTCTGCTTCATCATGTTTTAAATTGAAGTGTGATCGTCTTTTGTTCCTTCTTCAAACAACGGTTCTTGAATATCGTGAATATCTCCTTTTTGAGAGAAGATACAAGTGTTTCAAGAGAGTATAATTTTTTTTTATTTTCAATAAAAATAATTCAGAACCTATCTACCTATCTTAGGGGTGACCTCTAGAGGCTCATTCGCCTTCGTCCAGCCTTGTCAGATTCTCTTCAAGAGCTACGATTCGTCCTTCAAGGAGGATTTTAGGCAATTCTCCAAGGCTACTTGAGTAATTTGATCAATTCGATGCCACTGTGGTTGAATGCTGTGATTCAATATCGCGGAGAGCATACTCTTTATTGACTACTACAAGTCTGCTTCTTGTTTGTTTTTTGTAATTGATTTTCCGGTAAGAGCTAAGAAAATAAGATAGAAATATGTGATATTAATCCTTGAAGTTGTTCACTTTTGTGTTAAGAAGGGGTCACACTTCAATAGGAAGCATATTGTAGCCATGTTCAATCATGCAATTTTGCCACAGGGCATTGAGAAGTGTAGGGTGAAAGAGTTACTTTGGTTTTTCCTGTATAATGATCAAGTCATCAGCTTTTTAGGAAAACTAATATTTAGGCTAATATTCCGGAACATGAATCTGCGATTTGATCTAAATTTCACAAAAATCCGACAAGGATTAAAAAAGTTATAGTGTGAACAATTCGGGCAAATTTTTTGGTGGTCGGTTTATTTTGCCGGTGAGTGTATATTAAAAGAGTGATTTTTGCTGATTTCAAAAATATATAATTTTCATACATTCCATAGAGTGATACTGGGTGAAAGGTCTACGTTTACACAATGCAAAACATAATCAAATCTTCAAGACATAAATAAGTACAATGTTTTATTTTTCATGTTAAAAATTGCAAAATATATTTGCGATTTATTTCAAAAAATGCAACCCCATGACCACTTGTTTCAGCATCCTTCTCATTGAACATTTTTGACTGCCAACAGAGTTAAAATATTTATTTTCCCAACATACCATATAGTATAAACTAAAAAGGCACTTATATCATGTGAGATGTGAGGTTTTCTATGCCTTACAATGTTGCCAAATCTCAGAGTGTGCCTGGAATGTCAATTAAAAATGGTATGTTGTGAAAATTATTGTTGTCATATGAATCAGGAGTATCCACACTTTATTGTCAATCAAAATGTGTGAATGAAATTTTGTGATTAACCTAAATTGAAAGGCTGAATCCAGTGGGGTGGTCGGATTTTCTTGAAAAAGAAACAATGATATTTGGAAATTTGTATATTGGTTAGACCTTTCGATATCCTCTCTGCTGAAACAAGACAAAATTGAATCAGAGTTGAAAACTGTAGTACCGCATTTGGTAATTTTGCACTTATCATGCGATGGTTTTTTTTTCGAAAATTTTTTTTGGTACTTACGTATTTTTGTCTGAAAAACACGAATTTGATAATGAAAATGTGAACAAACCATTATTTATTGAGATATTTCACTATAAAGTTACAAATTTCACCTTCTTTTCCGCCTGTCTTTGGGGTGCATTTAGAACAATTTGTCCTTCGTTTTCCATCATTGGACAATTTATATATATCACACAATGTTGGGCACATATTTTTTATTATATGAGTCAACTAGAAATATGATTTTCTTGTGATTTATCCATGTTTAGTGAAAAGAAGGAAGAATATCATTTGAAATAATGGCGTGTGTGATGTCATTCCAAAGCAATCTATTGACATTTGACATCTCCTATTTGGATTACCCATCGATTAAATGGCGGTCATCTGGGCTTGCTCACTAAATAGGAAAAACTCACCATAAAAATCATATTTCCTGTTGAATTTTCTAGCTTAAAATGTGTCATTGAAGTACATCATGAGTATATGAAGTGTCCAATGACAAAATAAAAAGAGCAAGTACCTGTAAATGCATCCAACACAAGGGGGAAAATAAGGCAAAATTTCGAACTTTTTCTTGAAATATCTCGATAAATAGTGGTTTGTTCACATTTTCAATATCAAATTCGTGTTTTTCAGACAAAAATACATAAGTACCAAAAAAAATTTTCGAAAAAAACCCATCCCATGATAGGTGCAAAATTACCCAGCATTTTATTTCTTCTGACATATTATATAGGAGGCCTGTCTACTTTTTTTAGGGTAATAGGTACTATTTTTTTTAGATGTTGAGAGTAACCATCAGTTTTTGTTTGATTTACCCTTAAAGCCTCAGAGGATAATGAATTAAAGACTTTTCTGGTCCTATCAAAATGTGCTGGAAGTGATTTAAACTGAAATAAATCTTCATTGATCAATGTTGAAGGTCACTGAATAAAACAACCTATCAGATAGAGATTATCAATGACATAACAATTGTTCATTCAAACTGAGATGCTTATAACTACCATTTTTCTAATTTGAAAAGCTCATATATTGATACCTCCCTCCATATATTTACTTTCTCAGCTCCTAACATATATGCATGTCATTGGGCATAGAATCACATTGAGCATACATCAGAGATGTAGTAATAAAACATTGAACAAACTATTTTTTCATTGCATTTTTGTAACCGCAATAATGTAGCCACTATCTGAATTTATATTGAGATATTATTTTTCGATTTGTCATATACCCTACAATAAATAGTGAGTCCACAAGAACATGAGCTTTCTAAAAAAGTGCAAAAATGCTTACTCTTGAAAAGGACATGGTCTTTTATTAGTTCCATGTGTTCTCATCCTCTCAATTTTATTTCTGTAACAGCGTTTTAACGTTTTCCATTTATTTTCACACTGTTGTCCATTATAATAAAAATCCTTCTTTGCCAAGTCTTTTGATACAAGTTCCCAAAGCCTTTTCTGTGTAGTTATTATTCCGCTTTCTAGTAGGTCACATTTTTCATCATATAGTTTCAAAAGCTCCCTAGTGGCTTCATTGGTCCATTCCACCCTGTGTTCCTCTATTGCAAAAAACCATGATGAGTGAAAACGGTGATCACTTTATTTTCCAACTATTCTTTACCTGTAATGTAAATTACGCTCGTATTTTCGGACTCGTTTAAATCTTCCATCATGATTCTATTCGTATTTCAAATTTGGTCCCTTTTTTGTAAACTGTTCAGCAAAGATGAACTAGATTGTGTTCTGGTGTTCTGATTACAACTATTTGTAACTTGAGCAACTGAAAAAGAACCGAATCAACTTAGTGCAATAGTGCATGCATCGGACATCTTTAGTGCACACCACAGAACACGTTCTTATCATAGACATAGAACAAATACTTCAATTTCCAGTGGAACAAATTAGTCATAATTCACTTCCACCGTAGTTATGTCCATTGAAAAAGGTCATTATAATGAGAAAAAAGTCGATATATTGGAATAAGTCATTATAATGAGAAAAAAGTCGTTATATAGGGAAAAAGTCATTATAATGAGAAAAATAGCATTATAATTAAGAAGGAAAGTGTGCGTGACACCAGGGTGCTTTCGTAGCTTTCGTATCTACGTGCTCATCTTTTCAGTCTGATAATTTATAAGTCGAGTTCTGGGCTAAATTCCGAATTCAACTGGTGAGGTCTCAGTGTGGTCTCAGTACTGACTCTGCTGAAAATATGTGTTCCAAAATATAAAATCAAGAATACAGTGCTTCAATTCAGGAAACGTCGTGATTCTTATTAAAAATCAGCAGCAGTTGATCAGCTGGTGGAATCAATATCATTCTCAACGTCAATTATTTCAATAACTGGCGCTTTCTGTTATTAAATATGATTTTATTAATTTATTATGTTTGAAAAACAACGGAAATAGATGTGACATTCCCTCTTCTCTAAAATAATGATAGCTCACTGAAGCCACACCAACTTTTGTCCATCATTCTTTTGATAGTCATCAATTTCAGCAGAATGCTGAGTCAAATCACTTTCTGTGATTTTATTATGGAAATTTTCATCAAACCTGCCGCAAGGTGCGGCAGATGCTGCAATGAGGGCTAAAATTTCCACTTCAGGCAATTTAGATATTTAGCCGTCATTGGCGCAACGAAAACAAGAGGTCAATGTCGAAGTTATAAATCCCAAAATTTTGCTGGACAGCACTTAAAGTATAGGTTTGTTTCATCTGAAATATTCGAAAAAAAAAAAAAATTCGAAAAAAAACACTCACTCTCAATGTGGAACTTTACGACCACTTCTTACATTGACGGAGAAAAAGAAGCAAAAGGCCAAATGATGACACGAAAATAAGATGTATATATTTCTCAGTTCTACCAACCATGACCTCATGTTTTGGTGTTTGGTGGACAACAAAAAATTTTAGCCATTGACTTTTGATTTTGGAATGAAAAATCAGCAGCAGATTCAGTACTGTCAGTTCTACCGAACTTGATGCAGAGGTCCGACTGATCATTGCCTGAGTCGTTTTTTCATCCACGTTAACCGACACGGTTGAAGTTGATAATCCCATTTCATTGTTTTTTCATGACGTCATTTCCGTTTGATTTTACCTCCCCTATCTGCCCCAGCTTCACCAACTTAACCGTTGGTTATGTTGGTTGATGTCAAAAGTGTTGTGTTATAGATCGGAAATATTAATGATTTATGATTCGGTTTCCAAAACTTTAACCTCGAAACAAAAAAAAAGAAATTTCATCCTAACATTGAAATTAGAAATCAATTTTCGGTAACAAGAGAGACCAAAAATATGTGAATGGAATAGAATCGTTGGGAACGGTTGATGTTAACGTTAACGACATTATGACGTAGCTGTCTCCCACCACCTTACCCTAAATACTTCAACTGATTTCAACAGGGTATGCGAATGAAAAACGCCTCTATGTCCATTACAATTTTTCGTTCTGTGGGTAGCAGTTGATGTTGACGTAACGATTAACGATAACGTTAACGTATGGTAAACGTAAGTCAATGTCAATGTCACGTTATGTCATTTTAGTCATTTCACATCAAAAGAAAATAAACAAATAACAAAAAAAAAACAAATAATTTAGTATGTCAATAGAGTATAAATTGTGTGTCCTATCAACAGTTCAATCAGATGAATTAAGCAATTGAGCCAATTAAACGACTATTTGCGAGTAGAATGATGTATCCAACTCCCATGTAATTGTTAAAAGATGATAAATTTTGCCTACACAGTTCATCATGTCTGGACATGCAGTTGTTGTGTGGGAATATGAAATCCGATCAGGCTATTGGAAGCCCTACAGTCCTGCAGTGAGCCAACATTTGGAAAGAGCAAATGCTAAACAATTAACAAGAGTCATACTTTCTGATGCAGATCCTGCTCTGCTAAATTATTTTGTCAATTTAAGAACTTTAACACAAGAATTAGAGGAGTCAGGTAATGAGGCAGGAATAGAGAATATTGGAGGTTTTCTGGTTTTCAGTATAATTTAAGGTATAATTCAAACAGAGCAAGGTACTGAAAAGTGTTATATTTCAGATGATGTGGTTCCAGTAAGGAGAAAATGTTACTCACCATTATCACCTGCAGGGAAAGGTGCAAGATGGGAGTGTGCTGCTTCCGACCATGGTACAGAATGGCATCCTTTTGATATGGATATACAGTGCTTGATAGAAGAAGCATGGGCAAGGGTAAAATAGTTTTTATCTTCTGTGCCACATTACCAATTATTCTTATTTATTCACTTGTGTTGATGGCAAATAGAAGGAACTAAGTTGGTCCATATTTTCAGGGAGACCAAATGCTGGACATGAGTAAAACTCACTTAGGCTTTCCATATTTGATTAACTTTAGCAATTTGACACAGAGATGGTTGACTAATGGTTATGTAAGAAATGTTAGGAGAACCAAGCAAGCTCCTTATCCTCTTGTAAAAGTCCGTTTAGAAGAATTAACTCCTGTCACAGGTGAGTTTCTCAAGTACTAAATTGTCATGAATGAGTCTGATGGTTTTTTTTTTCAGGTCGAAGACCAGCTGAGAGTTTAAAATCATCTAGATCTTCTAATGTTGCACAAAAATCTCATTCAAACAAAGTTATAGGAAGCAGTGCAGCTCTCAACCAAACTGACAGTAATAAAAAGAGTACCAGCAAGAAGAAAGCTGGTAATAAGGGGAAGAGTAATCATGATACTACCCCAACCAATTTGGCTAGACAGATTTTAAACAATTTGAACATTTTTGGTAAGTCTTGAAGCTATTTGATCTATGAAATTGGTGGTGTTTCATAATGTGGAGAAATAAAAGAAGAACAATGTAATATCAATTGTATTATGATAATATGTCTAAACTTTATCCATGTTGGGTTGACTGGTAATATTTCTAGGACAGATTTTTGTACCTCAATGCATGTTTCAGAGTGAATTTAACTCATGGAGTTTGAAAAACTCCCTTTCCTGCTAGTGAAAAAATCTAAATTTACTATGATAGGAGGTTGACAGGTGGTTGAATATTTTTCTAGATATTTTTATGTAAAAAATAGATTCACAAAAACAAAAACCAATCTGAGGATTTTTAGAAATATATTTCTGTCATGAAATTACTGATTTTATTCCATTATAGGTTTCCAGACTGTATAAGTTCCTAATATGTTTTTGACACTTTGATTTTTATACTTTACTCATTTTCTCTCAGGTGCATATTCAGAGGCATATTCTGTTAATTTTAGATTAGAGAATGTATTCAGGAAATCATCCCCTTAAAAAATGCACCTATCTTTATCTAATCTTGTGGAATTCATTCAGATACTTGTTTATTCATGTTCTCATTGATTACATGATCATTCAATTTTAGTTATGGAGCAATATAATTTCACAATTTTCCCCATCAGTTACAGATAAGTACTCATACTATGAATTGTTGAACATTTGATCTAAGCATTTCCTTGTCACATCTAACAAAAATTTCAGGTATTATATTGAATGAAATTTATTTTTATGCTTTGATCACCAATTTGGTTTAATTGATATAGTGTTTTATTATCTTACAGTATATCTATTTCCATCTATTTCATGATGTTGCCAGAGAAAGTTTGTGGTAAAAAATATGGTCAATTTGATGACCATTCTGATTTCTCTTGGTCTTTTTTGGTGTTTGGTTTATAATATGTTCCAGTGAAATTTAGTTGATTTTAAAAGCTTTTTTCTGCAACCGACACAAAAGTCGTCCATTTTGATACCAAAATTAGCTCTTAAATTGACGTTTCTATTACTGACACAAAAATAGGTATGTTGCTAGGCAACATATTTAGTTCCTAGGAGCTAAAGTTGAATTTTAGTTCCTAGGAGCTAAAGTTGAACTTTAGCTCCTAGGAACTAAAAAGGATGTACTGGAAGTCATCACGAATGAACAACATTGTGATGGTTGGTTATTTGGGTTGAGACGCATACGTGATTTGTTTCAGATTTCAGCAGATTTAGCATCTCATACCCATGCTGGAGATATAAATACACCTTATTATAGTTTAGTATTGGAATTATAAACATATCTTAGTTAAGTATTTTTGTTTTGATCAGGGAAGCCTTCAAGATTCAAATATTTGCTTGATCTGTAATTCATTCGTTATACTCATGATGGATAACTTGTTTTTGAATAATCACGGCAAGAAATAGTTTTTTGTCTCAAACAACGATATTATTTAGCTTCATTCGATTATCAAGTCAAACACAGTGTAGTATGGAGAGGAATAAATAATCACTATTATCATTGTTGATATGCTCACTAACCTAACATTTTCTACGTCTTGTTCCTAATAGCTGGCACTAGCGCGGTATTTGCCATTAGAGCACCTGGTCCATACACAAATATGTCACTCTGTGGTTGTATTCATATTGAAACTACAATTCGAACATCCTAGAAAACCTAACCTGCTGTTAATGCAGGTAGAATATTCTCACCACATGGATTATTTGTCAATATTTGTTGCATTGCATACATATGGCACGGCATTGGTGGTTACTTCACATGTTTATTTGAGTTAATTGTTTCGGTTGCAGAAAAAATAGCATGTTTCATTCGGATCAAAAGTGACTTTGTTCGACTCGCAAATTTTGCTTTCGCTCGGCTTCGCTAAACGCTCCGCCTCGCAAATGCAAAATTCGCTTGTCAAACAAAGTGTCACTTTTGATCCTAATGAAACAATCTACTATTATTCAACTTGCATTGTATGTTTGTATGGGTGCATGTATGAATGTTCTGTGGAATCTTTGAACTCAATTTTGAAGTAGAAATCTTCAACCCATTGAGCTGAAATTCTGTATACACGTTCAGTTCGGACGACAATGCACGATAAGATGTGTAACGTTATTCTAAATCCAATATGGCGGACTATCCAAGATGGCGGAATAGCTATTTTTGATATACTTTTACAATATGGGTATCAAATGAAAAGGCTCGTTGAGAGTAACTCGACAAATGATGTGACGTCATTCTAAATCGAATATGGCGGACCATCCAAGATGGCGGAATGATCATTTCTAATCTACTTCTACAATATGGGTATCAAATGGAAGGGCTCGTTGAGAGTAATTCGAAAAATAATGTGACGTTATTCTAAATCCAATATGGCGGACCATCCAAGATGGCGGAATAGCTATTTTTAATATATTTCTACAATATGGGTATCAAATGAAAAGGCTCGTTGAGAGAAACTCGAAGATGATGTGACGTCATTCTAAATCCATTATGGCGGACCGTCCAAGATGGCGGAATGGTCATTTTCAATAAACTTCTACAATATGTGTATCAACTGAAAAGGATCGTTGAGAGAATAAATCGAAAAAACCTGCTAGCGATAACTAAAAATTAAAAAATAAATTAAATGAAAAAAAAAACTTTTTAATAAAAAGCTTATATTTAAACGCTCTAAAAAGAAGAAAATGAAATGGCAGCATACATGTGAGATATCTCCAAGGCATTCGATCGAGTCTGGCACCACGGACTCCTTGCCAAGCTTCCATCTTATGGCTTGCCTCCCCAGCTAAGTTCTCTGCTAGCTAGTTTTTTCTCAAACAGGTCTCTCTATGTAGTGGTCAACGGAGTTTCATCTGACTCTCTTATCGTTAATGCTGGTGTTCCGCAAATATCATTTCTAGCACCAACACAATTTCAACTCCATATCAACGATTTGTTAGAAGCAATGTCCAGTACACAGCTTCGCGGATGATAGTACCCTCCATGCACAATTCTCGAATGGGGATCCAATAACTTGGTAGATTTCAATGCAAACAAAACACAAGCATGCCTTTTCTCTCTAGAAAAGCCGATCTCACTGTGCCCAACATTAACTTGTCAGGAGTAACCATACCTTTGAAGACATCCATTTCAATGCTTGGTATTACTATCAGCAATGACCTTTCTTGGGAAAATCACGTGATTTCAATTGCTAAAAGTGCATCCCAAAAACTTGGTTTTCTGTTTCGGGCCAGGAGCTATTTTACAACCAGTCAGCTGCTTATGATCTATAAGGCACAGATCCGACCTGTCCTGGAATACTGTTCCCATATTTGGAGTGCAGCCCCCAAAAATACCCTAAAACTGTTGGATTCTGTCCAAAAAAGGGAAACCAGAACATATAAAAAATGTATGTAGTACATCAAGGTCAAAATTTAAAAAATCCTTACTTTCTTGAAACACTTGTATCTCCTCTTCAAAAGAAGATATTGACGTGAATCAAGTAGTATTGTGTTGAAAAGACATCACACTTATTCAATCCAAAACATATGAAACTAAGTTTAACCACTCACCTTTGTCACACAGTGTTAGGATGGGTGGAACAGTAACTTTTGTTTTCCCTGTATAATGTGCACTGGCTCCAAACCATTTGGTCGACATTTCACCAGAATCAGTAAAGAATCTACTCTGCGAGGAGAGCAGAGACAGCCAGGCCACAGCATCGATCTATATACAGGGTGATTCAGGTTTTAATGCACAAACTGAAAGGGGAGATAAATATCATTATTTTAATCAAAAAAGTTCATATAAACATTTGTCCGATCTCGTTCAGTAACGGAGCTACAGGGGGTCAAAGTTTAATTATTTTTTTCTATTAATTGAAATATCTCGCTTACTTTTCAAGATATCATTTTGAAATTTGGTGTGGTCAATACTTTCTAGAAGATCATCATTTCAAGCATTCTAAAGATTTTCAAAATCTACAGGATGATACGTTTTTGGAGGTAGAGGCTTCTTTATCCCCTTCAAACTTTTTCGTAGTACGCCTCTGGCATCTTTCAGTGATCAAATTGTGTGGATCGTTCAATTTAGAGGCTTTCTTTGCTCCTTAATTTTTTTCGAGAAACTAACTGTCTTTGAGATAAATAAGCATATACATTCGAAAACATGTTAATTTTGCTTATGTTTCGCTTAAATTGTATTCTTTGACAAAATTAGTTGAAAATACAACAAAATGTTCTAAGATTGCAATGTTCTTACGCACGTTACTGATCCAGATTGGAATCGTGATTTCAATTTTAGTTAGTACATTTCATTGCATTTTCAACGAATTTTGTCAAAGAATGAAATATTTAAGCGAAACATAGGCAAAATTAACATGTTTCAGAACGTATATGCTTATTTATCTCAAAAACGGTTCGTTCCTCGAAAAAAATTGAGGAGCAAAAAAAGCCTCTAAATTGAACGATCTACACAATTTGATCACTGAAAGATGCCAGAGGCGTACTACGAAAAAGTTTGGAGGGGATAAAGAAGCCTCTACCTCCAAAAACGTATCACCCTGTAGGTTTTGAAAATCTTTAAAATACTTGAAATGATGATCTTCTAGGAAGTATTGACCACACCAAATTTCAAAATGATATCTTGAAAAGGAAGCGAGATATTTCAATTAATAGAAAAAAATAATTAAACTTTGACCCCCTGTAGCTCCGTTACTGAACGAGATCGGACCAATGTTTATATTAACTTTTTTGATTAAAAGAATGAGATCTATCTCCCATTTCAGTTTGTGCCTTGAAACCTGAATCACCCTGTATATTTCAGATATACAGGGTGTTTCGTAATATGTGGGACACACTTCGAGAGGTGATAGGTAGTTTCAAGAAAATAAAAATGTTCCCATGAACAAAAGTCGTAGAAGGCTTTGTTTGCAAGATACAGGGTGTTGAAGTTGAAAATATTTATGTCCACCCTGTATGGCTTATCATGGTGGCAAAATTTAGTCTGCTATG